CCTCTTGGCTATTATTGGTGTTCAATTTAGCTCTTTTGTGCCTCATAAACAATCTCATGAGAGTAGTTTCTTTATGTTAATATTCATGAATTTTGGTTACAACGGTCTTGAGTCTTGTAGTGTTATATTAACTGTTCTAGGTCAAGATGCAGTATTGTTTCTAATATGAGAATCAAGATGTTTTGCTGCCTTCTTAACGTGATATATGGATCCAAATAGGATGTGGGCCAAAAAATAATGATGTTCATGCAACAAAGCAAGCGTGAAATATGTATTCTGTCTGCATCTGGTACGATCTCCAATGCATCTCTCCGCCAGCCTGCAACATCAGGTGGTAACATCACATATGAGGTAACCATCCCCTTTTGTTATAATTATTTTATATCAATGAGATAACTCCATGTTCTGCAATCTTTAAATTGGAACTTTTTAAGAGAATAGAAAATACATATAAAAAATTGAATAGAGTTTTGTTAGAAAAAACCCACATTACTTTGAAGAGCGGGGAGAGGATTTGGTCTTATCTTAAAAAGAAGGTTAGACAATTGATGTTTCTTGTAGACAAATAATAAGTCTGCTAGGAAAACAGGGATGGCGGGGTTTGTTACTTGATACAAATTAAAAAAAGGGTCTTAAAGAAAGCTATATAAATTCAAGCATAAAGGGAAGCTTATTCCTCTGCTTGCTTAGTACACTAGTCCGGTAATGTTGGGTTGCTCATCGCAAAATAATTCTCCCAACTGGGGAAAAAACAAGTTGCCAAGTTATTCATGGTTGGATTCTGTTGTTTAAATGAGCTGATTGTAAAAGTATGTTTACAATTATAAATGTGGGGCATACCTTAGCTACTCCATGCCTGTTGAATTATTAAAAAACAGAGAGGCAGCTATCTATATTATGTTACTCTTAGTATCAAATCAATCTTTCCAGGTTCTATGAGATATGAAAACAATTTATTATGATGCCATTGCCATGCCCATATGCCCAAAAGGCTCATATCCTTGCCTTGATGTTAGTTTCCAGTTTCGCTTTGTTAGAGTTGTCATCTCTGAGAGAACTTGATGAAACTTGTGAGTTACTTGCCTAAAATATGCTCATTTGTTAATTTCTTTCCTGGGTGATATGATATTAGGGCCGCTTTGAGATCATTTCACTCTCTGGATCCTATGTACGGACTGAAACTGGAGGGAGGACTGGTGGGCTCAGTGTATGTCTATCAAGTGCAGATGGCCAGATTATTGGAGGAGGAATTGGTGGACCTCTAAAGGCTGCCGGCCCAGTTCAGGTACTAGTATTATTTTTATTTTATTTAAGAAAGCGGGGATTTGAACCTAGCTCTTTGAACATGGGATACATGCATCTACCTATGAACCAAACACTCAAGTGTATTTTTTTTTTTAATAAATGTACAATTGACATGAAGAAAACTCTGGTTAATCAATCCATAGATGACTTGGGATTTCATCATTGATATCGCCATGAGAGCAAACAAGAAAGAGAGCTAGCAGATTCTTTTCTTTAAGAGGTTTAGTTTTCAGTTATTTATGTCAAAGGCACAACAGTTTATTTCATCTACAGGTTATTGTTGGTACATTTGTGATTGATAACAAGAAGGATGTTAGTGCTGGTGCAAAAGGTGATGCCTCTGGCAGCAAGTTGCCATCTCCAGTTGGTGGGACTTCAGTATCTAATGTTGGCTTTCGCTCGGCTTTTGAAACTCCGGGAAGAAATCCAATTGGGGGAAATGATGATCATCAAAGTTTCGGAGGAAGTCATTTCATGATGCAACCACGTGGCATGCATGTGGCACCTCGGCCCTCAGAATGGAGGAGTGGTCTAGATGATAGAACCGGTTTTGAGTTGACAGGTAAGAGTCTTGCATATGCATATATGCATAATGAACACACAGCAAGAAATATTGAACTACGTGTCTTTTGCAGGAAAAACAGGTCATGGAGCTCATCAATCTCCTGAAAATGGGGACTATGATCAAATCGCAGATTAGATATTGGTTTTTATGGATCAAATTCTGTTTTGTGGTAGATGTTTATATCACAACTTTTTTTCTTACAGAGCGAATAGATGTACAACTCCTTGCACCTTTCCCGGAGTGTAATATGATATAGCTGTACAGGTCGGCCCATTACTCTTTTGTTAGTTGATACTGATTAGAGTATGCCCCATAAATTAAGGAGATGGCCTTTAAAAATCCCAGTCCTTTGCTTAGTTGTTGAAATGCTTTCTACCTAATATTGCTGTTAACTTTTCTAGCTTTCTTTGAGCTACCCAAATCCTCACCAGTTTAGAGGAGTGGAGGGTGGGGGAAGCTAATCATGCTCAACTTAAGTAATAACAATTGTGCATCTAGTCTTGAAATTACTAATTGTTCAGTACCTTTTTAATTTTTGGCATCATTATGCACATAAGTCAATAGGTGTTGAAGGAATAATCATGTTTCCATCATTTTCTCCTTTCTTACTCATTGTGTATCTAGACAATGGCCTCCTGTCTACTCATTTTGATTTGTCCCCTCAGAAGTGAGCATTATTTTGTACATGTGGATAGAACAATTATGCTTTCTTGTAAAAGTGGGACACTTTTGAAGAGGATTATTTCCAAGTAAACAAACAAATCCCAAAATTTTGGCTTAAAAATGTACAGCAGATTTTGGATTAAACAGTTTGGCTTCAGCCCTCTGAACTCTTCTTTTCATTCCCTTAATTCACTAATCATGGTGAGATGAGAACCTGTTGTCTTTCTTGCTTCCTGGTTAGCTTAGCTAGGCTTAACTGCATATTGCTGCCAGGCAATCCTGGAAGACTGCTCCCCTAATTAATTTTGGTCACCTCAATAACCCCATTTTTCCTTCTTTTATTAATGAATTAAAATATGCTAACAAGAGTGTACCTGCATTCCTAGCAAGCAATTATCATGCCCCGACCCTTTGTAGTCAGCTACCCTTGGCATTTATTTGCTACTGCTACAAAGGTTGTTTTTGTTGTATCATTCATCCTCAACAATGAATATAATATAACATAGTGTTAATTATTTCGAGAAAGTAATCATTTAAATAATTCGAATGAAATTCAAAATTAATAAAATTTTAGGATTTTATGTTATATAAGTTGAAGTTTCGAATTTGAATTCCGAAATAGACAAGTGATATTTAAGAGATGGAAGAAAAATAATTTTTCTTTATAAATATTATAAAAATAGAAAAAGACCTAAATAATTTTGATGGAAAAGGATGGGGAAGTGGATAGAACTGTTGTAGATATTTTTAGATTTAAAAAAAAAATCTATGTAAAGGTTAAGATACTCCACAAAATTATAATATATATTTTTATAATTATCTAAAAATACTCCTCTCTGACCTACAAAATATGGAAAATCCAAATACAAACCCAAAAATCAGGAAACCACATCCGCATCACGTGCGCCACGTGGGTAACGTCCTTCCTCCAACTAGCTCCTCGGTCAACCCCGCTTAGTTTCTCCACCTCATAACTGCTGCCATCAAGTCATTAACGGTCAATGTTGCCACGTCAGCAAATCCGTCCTGGTGATCCACGCTGCTTGATCAATACCCAATCGGGCGGTCTGGAAAATTAATATAAAATTGTCGATTGAACATAGACAGAGTACTTGCTATTATTATTGATAATGCTTGTATGTAATTATTAAAAAAATACTTAATTATATTATTGTGGAAAAAACAAAAAATAATGTTTTGTGTGACTGGGAAAGAAAGAAAGGGGAAGAAAGTGTCTAAGTTCTCTTCACATAGAAACTTGGGTCCCACATTATGCTCTTTCTTCCTTTTTGGGGTCGTGTCCTTCTGGGGAGTTACTATTTTCTACTAACTTTAGGACACAAACACCCTCTGTCTCTCTCTCTTTCTCTCTCTGTCCCTCGTATCTGTTTTTGTCAAACACGGTTTTCAATCTTAAAGAGGCAGAGAGAGATGTTTCAATCTCAAACTGTCTTCAATCTCTCTTCTGCTTTTTTCTTATAAACCTCTTGCGAAGGTTTGTTTAAAGCAGACTTCTTTTTATATATCGGTAGTATTAGCTTTTTAATTGATCTTGTTGACAAAGAAAAAGTGGGGTGTTGTTTGATTGGATTTGGAAAAAGAAAGTGGAGATTTGGTAAAATGGGTAGTGGTTATTTTCACTTGGGAAGTTGAAAAAGATATTAGTATTCTGTTTTTATTTGGTGTTGATTGAGATTGGTGGTACTTTTTCTACCAAAAGGTTGGTTCTTTTTCTTTTTTTTTTTTGAACCTTTCCTCTTTGATTCCTTGTTTCTCTCTTGAGTTTTAGATTGGGAAAGAAAGGTGGACCTTTGAGTCTTGATGTTGGTTTCCTTGAAAGTTATGTTATTCAGTTGAAGAAAGCTGCAAGTTTTATTAAAAGTCTTCTCTTTTTCAGAATTTCTTTCTTCTTTTCCCTTGTTGGTGGAGTGAAGTCCTGGGGGGCTTTGATAAAACAATAGTTGATTGCAGGGAATGAATAAAAAGATTGGAGTTTTTGGAGTTTAGAGCAGATGGGGTGTTTTAGATCTTGAAATCTAGGGGAAGGATGTTGCTTGCTTCAGTAGGAGAAGGTGGGTACTGTTATAGATCTCGAATTCTTGCAGATGGGATTTTATTGTCTTTGCAAAGGACTTGGCTTGAGGAAATGAATACTTGAAGCTTTCAGCTATGGGAGTATAGTTGAGGGAGTTGCATTTTCTTTGTTTAGTTGAATACAAAATTTCTGTGCATTGGGGGTGTGGAAAGTTTGACTTTTTACACGTATGGATTGAACCAGTACTCACCAGAGTGGCAATGTTAAGAGCATTAGCTCATGGCTTGTTGATTTCTTTTTTCGTGATCTCGGTTTCTGCGACTGATAATGAGTTTCCGAATTGTAATTGTGATGATGAGGGCTTGTGGAGTATACATAGCATTTTAGAGTGCCAGAAGGTGAGTGATTTCTTGATTGCTGTGGCATATTTTTCGATACCTATTGAACTGCTTTACTTCATTAGTTGTTCGAGCGTCCCCTTCAAATGGGTCCTGCTTCAGTTTATAGCCTTTATAGTGCTTTGTGGGTTGACTCACCTTCTCAACGGATGGACTTATTATGGTCCTCACTCATTCCAGTTGATGCTATCCCTCACCATTGCCAAATTCCTTACAGCCCTTGTTTCATGTGCCACTGCAATAACACTTTTAACTCTGATCCCTCTCTTACTCAAAGTGAAAGTCAGGGAGCTTTTCTTGAGGCAAAATGTATTGGAGTTAGATCAAGAGGTTGGGATGATGAAGAAGAAGAAGGAAGCCAGCTCACATGTTCGAATGTTAACACAGGAAATCAGGAAATCCCTAGATAAGCATACCATATTGTACACCACTTTGGTTGAGCTTTCGAAGACTTTGGATTTGTACAACTGTGCAGTGTGGATGCCAAATGAGAATGGATCGCTGATGAATTTGACTCATGAGTTGAAAGCAAGTTCTTCGAGGAGCTTTCACCAGTCCATCCCAACTAATGATCCTGATGTGATGGAGATAAAAGAGAGTGAAGGAGTGAGAATCCTGAGGCCAGACTCAGCACTGGGGCTTGCAAGTGGTAGCGGATCAGATGAGGCAGGTGCTGTTGCAGCAATTAGGATGCCAATGCTTCACGGTTCTAATTTTAAAGGGGGAACACCAGAATCAGTAGAGACTTGCTATGCCATTTTGGTATTGGTTCTTCCAAGTTCGAACCAGGGTTGGAGCGAGCCGGAAATGGAAATTGTTGAAGTGGTTGCTGATCAGGTGGCTGTAGCTCTGTCCCACGCTGCAGTTCTTGAAGAATCTCAGCTAATGAGAGAAAGACTGAGTCAGCAAAATCGTGTGTTACAGCAGGCAAGAAAGAATGCAATGATGGCCAGCCAAGCAAGGAACTCTTTTCAGAAAGTGATGAGTCATGGCTTGAAGAGACCAATGCACTCAATTTTGGGCTTACTTTCAGTGTTTCAAGAAGAAAATATGAATTTCAACCAGAAGATTGCTATTGACACATTGGTTAAAACAAGCAGTGTTCTCTCAACTTTGATTAATGATGTGATGGAGATTTCAGCAAAAGATAAGGGAAGATTCCTGCTAGATATGAGACCTTTTAGTTTACATTCCATGATCAAAGAAGCTTCTTGTCTTGCCAAGTGTTTGTCTGTCTATAAAGGCTTTGGTTTTGAAGTTGGTGTTCAGAGCTCTTTGCCTCACCAGGTGATTGGTGATGAGAAAAGGACTTTTCAAGTAATTTTGCATATGGTTGGCTATCTACTGGACGTCAATAACGGACGAGGAACTGTTTTATTTCGGGTTTTATCAGATGTCAGTAGCCAGGATAAGAATGACAAAATAAATGCATGGAGATCAAACACACAAGATAAATACCTGTCCTTAAAGATTGAAATTGGTATTCGTGGGGGCAGTTCTCAGGCAGATGAATCAGTCTCAACTAAACATTCTTCTGGTGGGAGGCATAAGGATGATGAAATTAAGGAGAGCCTGAATTTCAATATGTGTAAAAAGCTTGTGCAGGTGAATATCCCAGTTCTGTTTCTATTTTTTATTGTCAATTCTATGCCTTGTTTTGAGTTTGACCTCTGCATTTCAAATGATAGAGTTAATAGTAACTATACATCCAATGGAAATGAAATACTGCCGTTAGTAATAAATTATAGTGTTGCCTGTGTATGATTGCTGAAGCTTTCGAGGCCTGTGAAACAATTTCCAGCTATTTATTGCATTTTTATTGTTGACTCCCAACTTTTAATGGTATATTATTTCTGGACATGCCATTGTTATATCAAAAACCTGTTTCAGCTTTTTCTGGATGCCCCAGAAAAAATATTATCTGTATGAAATATTGGAAGACACTGCTTTTAATTGCTTAAAACTAATGTCATATGTGCAATTGATTTCCTGAGCTTTATATTGTAAGTGTCTGGCGTCATTTGGCCAGAGCATTTTCAGTAAGGTGCTGGTTTCATTGGGCTTCTTTAATCTGGTTTAGGCAATTCTACATATTCTGGAGTTTGGATACAAAAAATCAAGTGAAAAAACAGTTGCCTATGCCTCTATGCTTTCGGGGAGAAAAATTTTCATATGAAGGAGTCTGAATGATGCAGTTGTGGATATGTTTCTAGCATTGAAGCCCTTTTTAAAGACAAAACTCAGACTCTTAATATAAACACTGAATTAAAGCATACATTCCTTGGACTGAAGCTATTTGACAATATTGACTACATATATAAAGAAAATGGATGCATGGAACAATTGTGGTTTGAAGATACTTCAATGTTTCAATTGTAGATTTTATAGAAAATTTTAAAGGCATTGTTCTTTGAGCCATGCTGATGTGCTCAAAACTGTGTTCTAACTCTTTATTTTCTCTTCCAACTGATATAAAAAGTTTGATTTCTCTACCTTTTGTCATTTAACCAGTCATTCCTTCTATAGAAGTATGATGCATTACCATTGCATTACATGCATTAATGGTATATTGTGTGTCTGGTATTTGCAGATGATGCAGGGTAATATCTGGGTATCCACAAATTCTCTTGGCTTTGCACAGAGTATGACCGTTCTTCTCAGGTTTCAAATCCAACCATATATCCAAAGAACCACATTTGCTTCTGGGAACTCCCCCGAGCAACCACATTTCAACTCCAGGTTCAGAGGTCTTCGAGTTTTACTAGCTGATGATGATGATATAAACAGGACTGTGACTAAGAAGCTGCTAGAGAAGCTGGGTTGTGAAGTGACTTCTGTTTCTTCTGGATTTGAATGTCTCAGTGCAGTCAGCCATGCTGAAAATTCTTTCAGAATTGTTGTTTTGGATCTTCACATGCCTGAAATGGATGGATTTGAAGTGGCAATGAGAATCCGTAAGTTTCGCAGCCGTAATTGGCCATTGATTATAGCCTTGACAGCTAGTGCTGAGGATAATGTGCGTGAGAGATGCCTACAAATGGGAATGAATGCAGTTATTCAGAAACCAGTTGTATTGCAAGGGATGGCTGATGAGATTCAAAGAGTTCTGCAACGGGCAGGGGAAGGGATTTGAGGAGCTGCTCATGCTTAGGCAAATGGGGTATATACCCCTTTGTATGCAGGACCTCTGATTTGATCATTGGCCTGCAGGTATGAGGAGATTCTGGCATTGATTACTTTTTTCATTTCCTTAGGTGTCTTCAGTCAGTTCACTTTCAAAATCAGTCACTGCATAGAGATTTTTAACATAGCTTTTGCATTCTGTCATTCCATGGTATACCAAAATGTAGTCATTAAATTTTGCTAACCACTTGGCTCATTGAATTTATGGAATGACTTGAGGTAAAATTACTTGTACACTTATACAATTATTTAATACCAAAATTAAATTTAGTGTGATATTTACAAAATTGAAAATGTAAGGAGTAATGTATACCTTCAATTCCTTTTTCTTCTTATCTGATACATGAGTCAGTACTTATTATCAGCGGAATACCGAGCCAGGATGATAAATTGATTGATTATGGAAAAACTTAACTGCATTAAGCTGAATTTTGGAGTCAGGAATCTCAGGTTGCTATCATTCTTAATTTCTACCTTCCGTTTCCCATTTGTGCAAGTGACCAACAGTTAATGTGATCCAAGCTATTGTGTAGCATCTAGGGAATATAATCTACTAATGTTGAATCTCATTCATGAAACAAGAGTGGAAATCTGAAAGGAGGATTCCCGAGATAGCTATTCAGTGGCCAATGTGCTCTCTGATTTTCTGCCATCAGACTGTAATCTATGCAGGGCCTCAAGCCCGGAGTTCATGTGCTTACACTGTTGCATACTGCATGGACAGCTTAACTTGGCATTTATGCCTCATGTCCTCAAACATGTACAAGATGATTCAGTTTTAGCAACAGCTTGTCAATGTTAAAACCTTGACCAGCTGAGCTGTTAAGCTGAAGCATCAACTTTGGAGCACAAATTCTCGGGACAGGATGCTGGAAGCAACCATTGATTGAACCCATCAACCCGTAGATTCCACAAATTCCTCACTAATGCTACAAACTCTACACCAAATTTGTTCACTAAGTACTATCAATCCATCAACCATTTATCTCAAAGGAACTCTACATTAATACAAAGACTTATTGGCTGAGAGCATCCAGTAAAAATAGTTATCGCATTTTCAATTTTTGTAAGAAAATGAAATTAAAATTTTGGGTCCAAGTTTGGGCTGCTGGCGGCAAACATTTAATTTGAGCCCAAAACCCGACCATTTTGGTTATATAAAAGCTCAAAAGGATTCTAAACGCTGAACGGACCAGACACGGCCGAAGACAAGAAGATGAGTGTATTGGTAACGGAAGCTTCGGAGTACCATTCCAAAGACTTCAACTGGGAAACTCTGAGACAAGAAATAGAAAACGACCCTTCTCTTAATTACCATCTTCTCCCTTTCCCTTCTCCACAACAAGAAGAACAACATTCAAGAGATTCAATTAAAGCATGGCAAAATTTTCACATTCAACACTCTTCTGGCAAGTTCTTCAAGGTTTGTCTAAGACAATGAAAAACCCAATTCTTTCTTCCTTTTATTTTTCTGGGTATTTGGTGCCTTAGTTTTTTTATATGTAAGCTTAAATGGGTACTTTTTGGATACAGGAAAGAAGGTACTTGTTGAAAGAATTTCCGGAGCTGGTTTCTTGTGAAGATGGTTGTAAGGTTTTGGAGGTTGGGTGCGGAAATGGTAGTACTGCCCTTCCTATATTGCGGTAACCTCAAATAATTTATTAGTGTTTTTATGTTGTTATAATTGTTGGTCTATTGGTCGGTGAACAACTGCACATTGAACAAAATTTGTATTACTATACTAACTTACTAGTTTAGTAATGAAAGAAAGTTTAATGGTTTACTATTTGTGTTGAAAGTATGGAGTTTCAAGTTTTGTGAAGTTAATTGATGGGTGTAGTCACGAAGGTTGAATGTTGGCTAATGTTAGTTTGATGTGTCTTGAGTAGCGGTTAATCTAAATTGATTACTTTGGTTTGGTTCTGCAATTCAGTTAGAGGTGAACTATGTATTCTGGAAAAGTTTATTTCATTAGTCAGGATAAGCCCATGAGAAAATTGGTTGAATGTTAAATTTAAATTCATAATTTCACACTTTAGAGGACATTGTGGAAAGTTGAGATACTGTTCTTTGAATTTTCATTGTGAAGATGAATTTTGCAGTATTGACAAATTGAGGCTGGATGATAATATTGAATCATGGAATTATCTTTCTTCCTCTACTTATGCCTTCAATATATATTTTCAGTGGCAATGAGAAAATTATTCTATACGCATGTGACTGTAGCAATGAGACCCTGGAGAGGGCTAAAGAGTTTGTAGCTGCTAGTAATGTAGTCTCAGTTGAGCATCGTTTCCACCCATTCTGTTGTGATTTTGTGACAACTGGATTCCCAAAGTGGTTGACATGCGATTATTGCAGAGAAATGTTTGCACTCAAGGGTCAAAATTACCTTTCAGGTAGCTACCTCTCCTATTTCTTTCATTTGTTCCTTAGATTATTGGCTTTGCTAATATTATGAACTTAAATTCTCTGTTTTTTTCTCTACCAGATGTTAGAGAAAAAAGAACCCACGAAACTGATATATGTTGTGTTGGTGGTGTGGACTTTATTACCTTGGTATGCATCTTTAGTTTCATCAATGTTTTAATAGTCAATACTAATAGACATCTTAATTTTCTTGGAAATAAGGAAGATAGTTTAGTATTCTTCTTCCCTATTCCTTTAAGTATATGCTTTTTTGCATATTTCTTGGACTTCACCTCATGTTGTTTAAATTGGTGTTAGAATGACATGAATTGGTGCACAATTGAGTTATGGTTAGTCTGCAAATTCATGCTTGGCTTGAGCAATGGTGGTGGAATGCCACTTATATTACGAGCTCTCCTTGCATAGCTAATACCTGCTACTTGCATCAACTTCCTGATTTCTTTTTCTGTACAAGTCCTTTATGCTGCAACCTGCATCTTTTTCCCCTCTTATAAAACCAGCATTCTGAGCTTACTTTACTATTTGAAAAATAGATACAAAATATTACGAAATATAGATTTTAATATGTTTCATTTGTTACATAATGTGGCAGATATTCACACTATCAGCAGTGCCACTTCAAACAATGCCAACAGCCATCAGAGAGTGCTTTTCTGTCTTAAAACCTGGTGGCCTGCTCTTATTTAGGGACTATGGTATTGGATCAACAAATAAATATGCTGCTGGTTTCAGTTATTGTAAAATGTTTTACATAGCATATTTTCTCATCAGATCTTGTTCTTTCTGGCCAAATTTAATTCCTTTAGAGGAATAATAAAATTAAGGGTTTTTTTCCAGAATCAGTTTACCAAAGGTTCAATTTGATGGAATCCAGGTCTCTATGATATGACAATGCTGCGTTTCGAACCAGAACAAAGAGTTGGGTTCAGGGAATACATGCGATCAGATGGCACTCGTTCTTACTTTTTCTCTCTGGATGTTGTCAGAAATCTCTTCATTTGTGCTGGCTTCATTGAGGTACAAAATTCTAGCTATTAGGTAAATTTAAGTTTGTACTTATTGTTACTTGGACTTGTGCATGAGATAATATGCTTCATCAACCTCTGTTTGATTTTTGCTGCATAGACTGGAACTGAGAAAAATGTTTTTGTCATCTTGATCTAGAATGATTCTCTAGTGCATTTGTGTGCAGTTTTTCTCTGACTTCATTGTAATTTTAAAAGAGAATTGCACTTTCTTGATTGAGTTTCATAGGGCATGAAATTATAATTTTATAATTAATTGGTCATATCTGAAGATAGAAACCCCAATGTAGTTCCTGGTTTGTTTTGAATGTTAACTTATTTATGCACTTGCAGCTTGAGATTGAATATTGTTGTGTCAAGTCAGTGAATCGCCAAAATGGGAAGAGCATGAGAAGAGTATGGGTTCACGGTAAGTTCCAGAAGCCCACATGAATTTATCGTCCAGGCTCTTCTTGAGGTACTGTTTGAAGAGATACAAAGACTTTTTTATTTTTATTATTATTATTATTTGTAATGAATGAATAGATGAGCATTTTTCTTTTCTCCATGTAGCTTATGGTGACAGATTTTTGCTTATCAGAATATCGACAGACTAACTTACCTATACAAGTTTTGCATTACTTTTGATTCTTGGAACAAGCTGAAGGAAATTGCCAATGGACCTTGCTTATCCCTGTGTATGCCTGTTTTGGCTTTCAATTTCATGTAGGGGACATTGTACGCTGAATAAAAATTGAAATTGAACAGTCACTTTTCCCATTAGTCATCCTTAATCTCTTTTGTGACAGCTGACCCTGCTAATGGTGACATTCAATCAGATCGTGGAGAACTCAAGATGAAGTTATTTGAACCTTCACAGTATCATGGAACTCATACTACTTCTAACAGTTAATTCATATGCCAAATATTACAAGTCCTCAGTCAAGCCAAAATAAATTTTAGGGCCTTGGACATTTGTTAATTGAATTTTTATATCTGGAGTGTCATATCAATAACTGCAACCTAGCATATGACAAGTCCTCTTGAACCTCTGTCAATACAGAAGAGGTTTGTCAGTGCTATATTTAGTTGTTCATTGAGCTTTTGGACATTGGTTTTTCTCTTGTGTATGCATTTCTTCCATTCATATGCGGTGTACTGCATAGACACATGCTATCATTCCGCTATGCAGATACGTGTCTATGTGAATGCAGAATTGATTTTGGCTCATTTCTCAGTCATTATATATGTTCGAGGCCTCACCAATAATCCACAAGGCCTCACTGTTTCAATTACTCGTATCTTCTGGCCATGCTTGCACAACATTGAGAATTGGGTTAGTAAATACGGCTACCTTTTGGCGGTCCGTCAAGTACTTTCCGGAGCAGGCACACCAAATAGAATTCCCCTTCATGTCTAGCAAATAAATTGGAAAAGAATTGTGGTATTTGACTTTAAGAAAATTATCATGAGAATATATGTTGAGCTTGTTATCGAGCATGAATCATCATCATAGCATGCAAGTGTGAATAAATTCTTGCGAAATGGTGGAAACAGGTGCTGGAAACAAGAGATTGAAAACATTATAGTGGCTCTCCTGGCTTCCTCTGTATATAGGATCAGCAGGGTATGCCACTTCCTAGTAATTCTGTTATTTAGTTAATCTTAAGGTTGACATTATAATCAATACTCTTATCATCTATAATTTTAATCCAGAAAACAAAATGAGAATGAAGAACATAGTAAATGCATCCAACGAACAACACTATTTGGTGTCTCTTTCCCTACGCCAGGCTACTCATATTAAAGGCATTCATGCATGTAAAGAATGTAGCAAAGTTGACCTTAGTTTCATGCATAAATCAAGAAATGAATGCCCCAACAGCCCCCTCCCCCGCTATAACAAAGAACCCATTTATTTGTTTTTAGGTGGGGAAGAAGGTGGACAATTACCGCAGTCTTAACCCAAGGCATTCATCATAGTGTTGCGTGCTTAACGTTTTCTCAAGTTTTGACCATTGATGCTTCTGCATATCTTTTGTTTAAAACTTTTTGCAATAGAAACGCATGAAACACACCAATGAATGCAATTAAAATAATGTTCGGAAGCTTTAGGTTGGCAATGCAATGACTCCATGAAAGCATTGGGTAGTGTTCAGGCTACCAAAAATCCAGGCGGAATTTCAGGGGGTTCTACGAACTAGGATGCTGATTTCATGCCACATGTCGTAGGTAAATTCTTTATCAGCCATACTGTTCAACTAGATCCCTTATTTTTTTGAGTGGAACCCTTTTCCTTGAAATTGGTACCCCCAACAGCCCATCCTTTGTCCCCTCCTACATTTGTCCATATCTGCACTGAATTATTAATTGTAGGCTGTAGTTACCATGGGAAAAATATCACACTAACCCCCCATATATTTTGATATTTATCAATGGTACCCTACACCCCATTATTTCCAGCATCCTTTATGGATAATAATATGGTTAAATCTCTTTTTATCTTTGATAGGCAGAGCTCCACAAATCCAGCTTATTACACATCAGTAATTTGGAGAATGCAAGAGCAGAAGATTGAAATTCCATCCTTTATTTATTTGTGCAAATAGTGGTAAGATTATATGTGGCATTATTACTGCCCCAGTATGATGGTTTTTGAGCTAAGTCTACATGTAACTTATCTAGCTTGCTAAGTTTTTATTTCCATGCCTGAAGGGTCATGTTAAGATGAAGAAAGCTAAGACAAATGGAGTATAATCACATCATATTGAAGCAATTCTAGTATTGTGTATTAGGCTAGCTGAATTGCTGCTTTGTATATTAGGATTCGAGGAAACTCTCTGTGCCCTTACATAAATGCTGATAGTGTTGTTGGTCTCTGAAGTAAAAGAGCTTCCACCCACTTCTTCCTAGATATAAACCATGCCATTAGTTATTTATCATCGATATATCAATGATTCAAGTCACTTATCTTGGCTGTCAAAATCATTAGTTTTCCGTATTAAACATGATCAACCTCTCATGCTCCTTAAATGTTATCCACCATTAGATCCCCCAGATGCATCATTATCCATGTATCAGGATCTAATGATTGATAACCTGCTGAACTAATCAACATGGGGAGAAAGCAATTTCCATAGTTAAATGAGTTCAATATGTGATATCTGGGACTATATAGATATATCATACATAGATGGAAAGAATCTTATAGGAAGTAAATTTGAAAGTACCTTCACATCACATACCCCAACATGATATGATCCCACCATGGAATTCTAACAGATATATGGGTCCCATCAATGGTGGATTTTGATTTTCCATTGACCTTTAATTAAAACTACAATTAAAACTTTGGAGAGAAACATAAATGACTGAAAATATTTTAATTATATATAGTCATGAACATAGAGAATGCTAGTAATTACAAAAACTATAGCTGTCCCCTCCTTTCGTTACATTGATTAAGACCTCAGGATAAAACCAAAACTTCAGCCTGCTCTCCCCTTTCATTTTTCTATTTCGTTGTGCAGCAATCGTTAGTCTCCATACATGGGGCGTTGATGAATCATTTATTATAGGTTTTTCTACCGACAGTTGAAGGAAATATTGAATGAGCATCGTTTAGTTGTTTACTAGACCAAAGTTGTCAAATTAACTAGCTTCCTGTCTTTTATTGTGTTGGATAAAACGTGTAAAATGAGAAACAAAGCCCTAGCATGGAAATATTTGTTTGCCTACTCTAATATCCTAATAGTAATTATATATCCTACATATTTAAATCCAAGCTCTGAAACTGATATCATTACTATAAACCTGATACAATGCCAAAAGGAATTTGTTATAAAAAGAGATGAAGAAAAAGAAAGCAATATTCATCTACTACTTGCAAAAACCTATTGCTTTGACTTAAATGACATAGATATATGCAGAGATGAGCCAAAACTGTGAAGAAACATTGAGTTGTCAATTGGAATGGTAAGGATAATATATCTTAAGTGGTTAATTAGTTTCTCTTGAACCATATATATGATCTCTGAGGTGTGCTTATCATTCAGATGATAAGAAGGTCACTCTTTATTTACATTTAACCAACTAGCATGAAATAGAGATTGTTTTCAAACAAGGTCGTTGTAGTATAGTGGTAAGTATTCCCGCCTGTCACGCGGGTGACCCGGGTTCGATCCCCGGCAACGGCGTTGTAATTTTTTCTCTTCTTTGCTGAGGGAAAAAAAAAAACTAAAAATTTTGAGTTAACACAATGAAACAAACAAGAAAACTTGTGGATGATGGCAGGGTTTTTTCAATCTGACTCTTTCTTTTGGTAGACTCTTCTTTAGTTTAACTTGCTTTTCTAGTTTATATGTCCCCTTCAAGGAGATGAATGTTGGTAGCTGGTTACCGGTGCTATAATTTAAGGATAAGGATTGTGTCACAAAGAGTTCATCAGAAATGAAACAAGTGAGTGCGCTAAAGTACGCCCGCTTTGGTAGATGAATGTGGTCAATGGGAAGAATGTGGTGTTCTTTGATTGGAAACTCAAAGTAATTTGGGATTATCTTGCTGCAGAGGATTTTGAAAGTTAGGTCAAATGGCACCCAATTCTCTGAGGACAACGTGTGCCCCACGGCAGGTACATCCAGCAAATTAAAAAATTCAGCATTTTAGACTTTGCAAGTGAACATGCTCTCAAATTTCCATTGCTGATGCATGATTCTCCATTATCAATGTTAAATAAATTAATCATGTTGCTTTTCATTATACAGCTTAGGCTTTACTTGGGTGGTCCACCTTTCCTTAATGCCCATTGTCCGGATTCCTCCTCAAAGTATTATAGTTAATTAGCTTGTTCAACTTTTAAGGAGAGCTCGGGCTACAGATATTGGTAAAACTACACTCAGAAACACAACTGGTGCAGGAAAAGGAGAAGCTAATTGTTGTTTGGCTTTAGTTGAAGGTCATTTTAATAAAGAAGATTTGATTATTAAATCCGAGGTGGGCTCCATCACATCAGTGCTTTGCCATTGGAATGTTGTATGCAAGTAACTAGGTAAAAATATTACCAAGGTTCATTAACAATGTCATGTGAGTCCATGTGAAGAGGGTCCTTGATGTTTGCTAAAACTCTTTAGAGTCCTCTGAGTGTTAAGAAAACAGCCTTTTTAAGGACATCATACTGATCGTTTGCCATTAAGATGCATTCATCACCTTTCTTTAGTTTAACAAATTGTCATAGGATGATGACTGCACAGCCATGATTAACACCCTCTTCTAAGTTACATTAAGTAGAGGACAAATTAAAAAACCTGATTTCAAGAAACCAGATTCTAATTCCATTTTATTATCTGTTATATGCTAACATCTTTTTGCATTGTCCCATCATAGTGAAATCATTCACATTCATATACTGTTTAAGATTTATGTGAATGCAACTCTTAAGGACTTAACTATTACATTTGACATTGGCTCATGTTTAGATGATAAAGTTTTTGCACAGTTAATTTTCTTCCTAGGAAAATGAAATTAGAAAGCTGTAATTGTTCTACTTGCTGCTATCGAATCATATTCATGCCTTTAGCTTGTTGTTAAGTTCGGTGCAGCATGCCGGCAATGAGTATTTGGGAACTTAAGAAGCATGACTTTTAATAGCCACCAAGAAACGAGTTTTCACTGGTCTAGTAGTATTAAGTGATCCCATGACATGCACTTGTGCAAATGTAAATATTGAAAGAACAATAGTCACATGCCCTGGTAATTACTTTGAAGGTATAGACTAAATATGTGCTTAAAATTCAAATGCTCATTGCACCATGTTTTCTCTTCTGTCATTTATGATCCTTTTGCAGACTGAATTGAACAAAAGCAATCAAATAGTTATAAAGTTTTTGCCCCAAGTTTGCTCCAACAATTTCACTGCTGTATATTGAGAATTTTTTTTTCTGAGATAAAAATGGCAAAGAAGCAGGCCAGAAACATGAACCTGAAAATTATCCCAAATCCTTAATGGTTGACAATTCAATGGGGAGCATTGTCACACTTTCTAAAAAGCTCAAAAATCGAGGATGATGCCAAAAAAAATTAATATGGTTGTTAGTTGTTACCTTCACCAGAGCTACACAGTGACTGCATAAATGGAAGTACATGCTCCCTTTCTCATATAATGGTTTTCCTTGTATATATTACGGTACTCTTGGAGCCCTTTGCTTTCTTACTTTCTCTCTTCTTAAAAATTTGCATAGCACCACAGGTCATGAACCATGCCTGCTTCCCCACTTTCCAACTGAAAGCCACCCCTTTTCCGTTGCATTTCATGTTGAGCTTTGAAGTGGTGTGGAAATGGAGGAATAGAAGCAGAAGAAAGAGAAAAAACTGGGGTTGGGGTGGGGGGGTTGTGTGGGGGAGGGGAGGCTTTCTAATTTATTAATATTCTTTTCTAACATTAATTTTCTCTTCGGATGATTCAGGTTAATTAATCATGTTAATTAAGCTTATAGAAACTTTGTAAATGTAATTGAAAACAATGAACTTGTAATAAGTAACATTAGTCTGACTTATTATTCCCGTAATTCTCTTTGTGTCTTTTAATTTTTTGATAGATTAGAAGGTTAATAAAATCATATTATAAAAAATAAGTATCTACATAATTCCGTAAAACACGAATATTGTTTGAATTTAAATTTTATTTATTGAAAACCGAATTCCAAACATTCAATTTACTCATTTTTCACCTCCAAGTCAATCATTTTAGCATCGCAAGCTGAATTAATCCTTGTGATTATGAATTCAAAACATGTTCATCAAATTAGAAATGATATTCGCACCCTCTCTTGACAAATGAACAATGCTATTGCCATTGCTCATTTAGTGTAGCTTGTTGTCAGTTATTATTTAGCTAGCATGACACATTCATAAACAGCTTTAGAAGATTAAAGTAGTAGTATTTGCAGTCAAAATCTTTGCTGGAACAGATATAAAAGATCAAATATAAGCATCAATTGGAAGCGGCTGGCTCCTGTATGTGATATGTACAGGAAATGGAAAACAACACAATTCAGTGGAAGAATACAAAAATGTCATTTATAGCTAACAGACATCACCTACCTTCCCTCTTTTTCTGCAACTTAGTAGTAACAAGTTGGGATTCAGCCATTTTTAATGACGCAAGAAAAGAAAAAAGAGCTGTGAAATATGTACATTTTTTGATTGAAAACTTCCATCAGTACTGAGAACGTACTAGTATCTTCTTTCCTAACGTAATTATAGCTCTGTAAACAAACCTTTCCAAGCGTGACAAAAATGTATAAAAGAAGATTGAGATCATGGAAAGCTCGCTGAATTGCAGTGGAAGCAGCTACAAAGGCCATGGAAGCTTCTTAAGTAACAACAATATCTTCTTGCTTTATTGTTATACCATTAATACTTCAGCTAGGAAGTAAGTTAGTCTTTAATTTGTTATCTTTGGATTTATCAAAGGCTAAAAATATGATGAATCAAATATATAAATCCAAAGTTATAAAGCTTTTTTTTCAAAGATCAAGGCACTAATTATTAATCTTTCCTTAGCCCCAACTTGCACTACCATCATCAGATAAAAGAAAATGGGATAAATTAAGAAAAGAACAAAGAGAAAGTGGAAGATCAAGAAATTAAAACATCTTATTCGATCTGCAAATGCAAGTGAAAGCATATGTGAGTTGTTGTAAAATTTACAAAATATTGGCCTAGTTTCTTTTCTTTAATATATATCTCTCATCAGAACAATTCAATAGAAATTAAATACCTGAATCCGTTCCTCTCACAAGCATTTCTATTTAATTTACTTCCTCTTCTCTTTACTGATAAGGTGGCCTTCCACCATGAGCCCAAGCATAAGCCTCGTGGTTCAGCTGACCACCGTTAGGAACCAAATTTGGTGGCAAATTATTATAAACTGGCAATCCTGAACCATCAGCACCACCTATCCCACCTTGATGATGCCCTCCACTGCCACTGCCAATCCCTGGTGGCGACCCGCCACTTCCACCACCACCAAGCTGCCCTTGAGCACCACTAGCTCCTTCTTCTTCCTCCTCCAAAGGCAACCTCTCATAAGTAGCATTAGAGAAAGTTGCCGCTATTATCATAACAGGCCCTGATGCCACCAGTGACCCTACTACACTACCTCCAACCACCTGCCCTTGCCCACCAGCAAGGTATATTGTTAACCCGGTTGACCCTGGAGGAGCTGGTCCAGGCAAAAAGGCACCAGTCAGAGACAAAATCTCAAACCTACCATGAAGAGCCATGACTGCCCCAGGAGCAGAAGGTTGCCGGAGTGTCACGTTAGTGACAGTTCCACTTCCACTAAGAACACAAACCCCTCTTTGCCTTCTTCTAGAAAAGTGAGCTAGGGTTTCAGCTACATCAGAACCATTGGCAATTTCCATAACGTGACTTCTTAGTGCATTAGGGCTATCTCTAGTGACAAAAATAGGTGGTTTGGGCTTGTTTTTGGAGCCTGGTGGACGACCTCGAGGACGACGAGTGGAGACTTCTATAGCACCTTCCCTGGGCTCGTCGCTATGCTCTTTTTCTTCTTCTTCTTCTTCCCCAGTTCCTCCACTTCCCGTTTCTCCATTGTTTGTGATGGATATCCCCAGATCTGGTTTCTTCATTGGAGATGATGAAGTAGCTGATGTTTCCATTCCCTGTAGTCCTACTTGCCCTGCCCACCACCGATTAGCCATGGTTTTTTTTTAAGTTTGAACTAACAACAGAAGATCACAGAGCAATAGAAAACAGGATTTGGATCTTGTTTTGATTGATGATCTTGCTTAAGAATGATCAAAGGGTGAAAACAAAAGAAAGACAGAAGAAGCAAGGCAAATTTCTTTAAGTCTTCAACTCTCTAAAAAAGTTAGCAGAGAGAGACAGAGAGAGAGAGAGAAGCTAATGGAAAGAAGGGAAACTGAAACTGATCAAAGCTAAAGAATTGTAAAGGGCAAAGGGCTAACAGAGGTCCAAACAAATGAACCAAAAAAAAATGAAGAAAAAAGTTACTTAATTAGAGAGATTGTCTTTCTAGAGAAAATAAAAATTTCTTTTCTATTTCCGAGAATTTGTTGGATTTTTGTCTTCAAAGGGTGTTTTAGCCTTGGTTTTGGGTGCGTCAAGGTCTTAGGGAGCTGGGGTTTCTTTGTATTTTACTGCACAAACTCTCTCTCTCTTTGAACAATTAACCAAATAAAGAAATGAGAAAGAAATTTCATGGTGGGGGGTATGGGAAATATTTAGGGTTTTGTTTGTGGGGAGAGTGGGGTCATTCATGTGCGCGTGAGAAAGTGGGGTGCACGTCTTACTCCTTTGCTCTTGTCCCGACATAATATGTAGCTGATGCAAAGATTTTGTAATATATTCAATGTGATGTATTGGCGTATTGCATGTTGGAAATAATATATACTCATCTGTGCAGGCTTTGACACACTTTGGCTACTTTTTTTGTCTTCTTTTTTGATATGTAATCAGTCAATTAAGTTAATGAACTTTCATCAAGTCTTTCAACTTCATTAATATTACAACTAGAACAGGTAGAGAGATCAGTGCTAAACTTGCATGTTTGAGAAAATATACTTTGCTTAGCAAAGTCTAGTTGCCAACCCTCTTTGCATGACCGTGTGCATCCTTTTTACCAGCCCCATTTGAAGGTGCCTCTACCAAGTACCTCAACACAATTATCCTTTGCATGCCCGCATTTGTTGACTACCTTCAAATCTTTCTTCCCTTGCCAATGGATCTCCATTCTTTCTCTCCTGCGAATGCATTTCCTGTCTTTGTTCTTTAAGAATTTCGAGTTATATAATGAAAAGTTATTGTCTCCCTTTGCCAATTAATAAACTTCACCTCGTTCATATTAAATTTTCAACATAAAATTTTTAAGCCGAATTTTAACCGTTAAAATATCTTCTTATGAACTCAAGTTAATGCATCTCCACACGACAAAAACATTACTCAATAACATTATACTTGAAACATTTATAATTATAATTCTCATTTTAGTATTTTATGTACCCTCCTTCCACTAGAATGTAATCCTGCATTAGTATGAAAGGGTCAAACTTTTGGGATGGCGCATGGATGTATTTTACTCTAATTTAAATTTAATAATGAGGACGGTATGGCTTATTCAAAGCTTCATCGTCCCTTCTTGGATACTGATTAATTGATTTCTTTTGTTTTTTTGCATCAAGTTCCTTGTAGAGAGAATGGACAAAGTATGATGGTGTAATTATTAAGAAATGGGCATGGATTTTGGTTTATATGTAAACTAGGAATATGCCATGCTGGGGTCAATTTTCTAATATTCTATATACTTTGACTTGAGAAAATCAATTTTGATATTTGGTATTATCAATCAAACTCAAAATCATGTGAGGAGGTCGGTTTTTTTGTCTTTCGTTACAATTTTTCATTTTGGACAAAGTTTTTCATTTAAATTTTACCGAAAACCTGTTAAAAAAAAAGATATTTCCAAATATGTGATATAATATGATATGATATGATATTTTGTAAATTGTAAATATAATGCCATATTTTCTCATTTAATGTAAAATTTATCCCACCCCGAAACATGACTAAGTGGTGTCCATAGATTATATTAAGAAAAATTAAAAAGTTATCAAGGGTGCTCAAGTTATTGACAAAAGGGAGATAAAAATAAATATATTAACTATAGAATAAAGATATAATGTTTACATCACAAGTTAAGGCACTAGTCAGTTTAATAGGCAGAGTAGTTGAACCTTCACTAAGAACTATTATTTTAATTAATCTACTAACCAAAACAATTAAATTTTTTAACCAATTAAATTTAATTATCTGTATTTGAATGTTCGACTCATTGATTGATGTATCTCTCCACTTAAAAGAACAATGTTCAAGTCTCCTTTCTCTCAATTTAAAAAAAAAAACTCAATTATTCAAACAGGAACATTAAGCCTCAATTTGAAGAAATCAAATCAATGTCTTCCTTTTGAATCAACACCTGCAGCCCAAGAAATAAATGGGCCACAAAGTCTGGTAAAGGAGAGTCTGACTTCATTTTCATATCACAACTCAAAGCCCATACAACCCATAAAGAAAGGAGAGAGAGAGAGAGAGAGGAAGAAGAAAAGAGGGAGGTTTCCCCTGCATATTTTCTATAGAATTTCAAAAAGGAAGATCTTGCAAGTTCTGAGTTTAATAATCCATTCAGATAAAAAAAGAGGAAAAAACGATTGGTGAATAGGTTGAGAAAAAATGGGTGACAACTTGTTTGAAGGATTACCACCTCCTTCTGAACAACAGCAACTAGAAGAAAAAAAAGAAGAAGAACAAGAAGGACAAGGCAGGAATCAAAATCTTTCGTCTTTGAAGACAAGTAGTAGCAACGACAACAAAGAAGCTTCTCCAAATCCAGTTCTTAGAAGTGCTCTTAAGAGACCTAAGCCTACAGAATCTTACCCTGAAGGTGAACCCCATAAATTGTACAATTTTTATATTTGCTTTTCTTGTTGAGGGTTGATGAATTTTTTGTTTTTATTTCGATTTTGAATTCTGGGTGTTGCAATTTTTTTTTCATTTACTATGAAGTGGAAATTGAAATGGGTTCTGCTTTTTGGAGACTAGGAAGCTGGCTTTAGGTGGTAATTTTGGGATTTTACAGCATAATTTAGTTCAAAGTTCCCTTTTCTTTTTTTTCTGTATTGGTGAATTTTTGTTGTTGATAGGGTAAAATAAACTCTGGGTTATGAATTATTGGGGCTTGAATTCTGGAAGTAATTTTGTTATCGTTTATGAGGTTACTAAGTTTGGCATTTTGGACAAAAGTACTTTGGGGATGGTAATTGAGTGTGGCCTTGGAGTCTTATGAACATGCACTTAGACGAGTATTTTCTTCTTTGGTTTATGAGAGAGACTAGGAAGAAATGAAAGCAGGATTAGAGTTTTTAAAGGATTATTATATTGTATGAAATTATTTATTTGTTTGTTTATCTATAATTCTCTTATTGGATTATTCTACTTTTCAAAGAAGCTTCTTTTTCTTTTTGGCTAAAATCTTTCTGAAAGTATCTGATTAGTTATGCATTGTACTTCCCAGCTGCTGCACCAGAAAAACGCTTGAGATTTAAGACAACAACAGATGCCTCAGAGACACAAGTTATTGAGGCAATGCAGAAGATTGCATCACATATCAAGAACCCCACCAAGTTTGCTAAGGCTTCAAAGCTTGTGATACAGTTGATAAAGGCTGGAAGTGTGAAGGCTGGAACTAGTGATCACTTTTTTGCTATACTAGAGGCTGCAATGTCATCAACAACTTCTTGTACTGATCCTTCGGTGGGAGGCGATTATCATTCACTGTTTTCAGCAGCACAAGATGCAGCTGAAGTATGATTTTACTTTGTATTACACCCTAAAATTGTTTTCTCTCCCTTGAGCATTATCTTATATGCTGTTTTCTTGCAGTCCCTAAACAAGAAGCAGAAGAACCAATTGACTGTATGGATATTTAGGGCAGTGGTGGCAAATGACTTATTAACTGATGACAGCTTTGTGGTATGTACTTTACTTTTTAATATGTTTTGTTGCCACAACATTGTCAGACATGACTTATTTGATAATCTATGTACATCATGGTAACAAAATTGTGTTAGGATATGCGAAAGGTTTTACATTCCATACTAATTCTATAAATTCCATTTGTTGTGCTTTTCAAGAATTTTAGATGCATGCAGAGGTCATGACTGCTTTAACTATTCCTCTTATTCAAGAATTTTTTTTTTTTGAAGAGCTCTTATTCAAGATATGCTCTTCTTGGAAACTCATTGCACATGAGTACTTCCTTGTGAGAGGCAACATAGAGACAATTATACAGGCTGATGTTAGTTTATGTGGGTTTTTTTTTTTTTTTGTATTTTTTTTCTTTTTGTACCATGCAAAAGTGGGGATTTTGGAATAGTTTAAGTGATGTTGTAGAGTGTATTTTTTAAGCATTGCAGTGAAACATAGATGTTCTTGTAAATGTGCCTGAATTTTAGTGAAGGTTGTTTGCTCAAGTAAAATGTTTTGTGGCAATACTATTTGAACTGATTCCCTTTTCTTTGTCGTACAAAACCAAAAAGTCATTATTGACTGTGTGCTTATATATTGTTTTGTGAACCTTAATAGTTTTCTAAAACAGCTAGTAAATTAAAAGATGCAATATCTAGTCTTCCAATTGCAACTGAGGATGATGACATCGATGAAGCTGCTACCCTGAAAGATGAGACTGAAATCAGGAATGATGATGATAACAACAAAGAAGCTATAGTTGCTCCAGCTGAAGAAAATAAGAAAGATGAGTCTGATCCTTTTGGACTTGATGCTCTGATTCCTAGATCTGGGAAAAAAGATGATAGAACAAAGGGAAAGAAAGATGTGGCAGCCAAGAGCAGGAAGGAGGATGAGGAGGAGACTAAGAGATTTCTCAAGTCACAGAGAGAAGCCTTGATTACTTGTTTAGAGATTGCTGCTCGTCGTTATAAAACTCCATGGTAAGCGTTCATTGTTTTCTGCTGCTAATTGAAAGAAAAGGAAACTCTGCTTCCATATAGTTGTTTATGTTGATTTCTGTTTTAGGGGGTTAAATAAGTGTTATTCTTCGTAGGTGCCAGACAGTTATAGACATCTTGGTCAAGCTTGCATTTGACAATGTTGCAAGGTTTACATCTCGACAAAGGGATGCCATTGAGAAACTATGGGCTTCTGTTCGGGAGCAGCAAATACGTAGGAAGCAGGGGAAATCAGTGACTGGGAAACTTGACGTGAATGCTTTTGAATGGCTTCAGCAAAAGTATTCTACTGAGAAGATCAGCATTCGGCATTCTGTCGGGGCTAGTGGCGACCGTCGTTGTCAGCAGTGGCTCGGTTAACAGTTTTTCTTTAATATCGTCTGGAAGGGATGGATGATATTAACTTACCCCGAAAACAAATTGCAATTGTTGATTGGTCATCTGTTAATCTGAATGTAATATGCTTTAAGTGTCAAAACATTGTAAAGGATACAATTCATATGGATAATTGGTTTCAGTCAACATGTTTTTCTCATTTGGTTTCCTTCTTCAAAACATAGCTTTAACCGGAGATTCTGGGAATTCGAAACCACAATGGGTTTAAGACCCTAGTCATTCAGCTATGCTTCTAAATTCCTGGTAGACTATACTCCACAACTGGCGGAAATGCTCTCTAAAGGGCTAAAAGAAGGATCTACGGTCTAAAACTAATCACTGCCACATTCAAGGTAGTTACTGATATTGCAAGTAATCTGATCTTGAAGGAGGGAAACAAACTACTGATTCAATGTCTACTTATATGAATAAGGTTAAAAGTGAAGAGACTAGAGAGAACTATAATTTCCTTTCCTTTTTTTTTTGAACTGTACATATTTTCAGTGTATTCTTGGAACGTAGAGAGTAAAGTGGGTCGCTACCAGTAATCTCCGCAGGAACAGGTTCCGTCTCTGAAGTGGTGAAAGCGTTTTCGATCACGTACTATTATTACTCTCTCATAGATTTTAGACAGCAGCTTAGTTGCAGCATGACAGTCATTACAAACTCGGAGATTTTTCACAACCCGGATTGGTGTTCCTGGAGCTGTACTAACGAGGCCAACCGCAAAGCCATTGCCAATTTTCACTGTGATAGTTGAGGGCGGCTTCTTTCTCTTCCTCATCTATGTTTGTAGGACAGCAGATGTGTCTACCATGTACCCTGCCTCCTTCAACTTCTTTCCTATCTCAGATACCATATCATTTATCTTTTCGGTTTGTGGTGTGCCTTATCTCCCATTATGAACTCATGAACATATCCATCTACTTCAATAGAGCTACGCCCTGGTTCTTTCTTCATTCCCTTGTTCTTCATTGCTTTTCTTACCCCCGCAACATCATTCCACCTGTTTGCCACTGCATATATATTTGACATCGAAACATTATATCCGCAGTTCTGAGGTTCCAGGTACACAAGTTGCCTTGCAGCGATTTCCCCTAACATGGGATTCTTGTGAAGCTTGCATGCAGCAAGAAGAGCACTCCATGTTATGGTGTTTGGCCTTTTTGGCATGCTTTTGATCATCTCATAGGCCTCGTCGAGCAGTCCTGCTCGACCAAGAAGATCCACCATACACCCATAGTGTCCGACCTTAGGGACCAAGCCAAAATCATGAACCATTTTCTCAAAAAACAACCTTCCTTCTTCCACCAATCCAGCATGACTACAAGCATGAAGAAGACCGATAAATGTGATATCATTTGGCCTCACACCCCCTCTTTCCATTTCTGAGAATAGCTCCAAAGCCTCCTTACCACAACCATGCATTCCAAATCCTGCCATCATTGTATTCCACATGACAATGTCTTGATCTTTAGATTCCCTGAACAGTCTCCAAGCCCCATCAATATCTCCACACTTGGCATACATTTCAATTAGTGCGGTTTTTAATATCATATCCATTTCAACGACTTCCCTGTCTATGTAAGTATGAACCCATTTGCCCATGTCAAGGGCTCCAGCCTCTGCACAAAGTGAAAGCATGGTCACCATTGTTACTTGGTTAGGTCTCACTCCACCGTCCCTCATTTTGACAAATAGATCCAAAGCCTGATCAATGCAATGAGCTTGTGCATAAGCTGCAATCATAGCACTCCAGATCTTAACATCTTTGTTCTTAACTGTGTCAAAGACTGCTTTAGCATTCCGTATCTGCCCACATTTCCCGTACATATCAACCAAAGCAGTAGCAAGAGCCAAAGACACACAAATACCATTTCTCAAAATATAAGCATGTAGATGTTTGCCCAGTTCTAAAGCCCCAACAAAACCACACTCTACAACTAAGCTCAGCAAAGTAATCTCATTCGGCTTTATCCTTTCTTCAATCATTCTAGCAAAAAGCTTCCCTCCGTCTTCTAATTTATTGCAATGAATGTATCCAGCTATCATAGCAGTCCATGAAACAACACTTTTGTGGTTCAATCCATGGAAAAGCAGTCCTGCAGAAGCTAAATTCCCACTTTTGGCATACATATCAATGAAAGCAGTAGTCAAATGAACACCCATTTTCTCAAGATTCCTTGTAACATAAGCGTGCATTGCCTTTCCCATTTCAATATCCTTGAGCTCTGCAAATAAGTTAACCATGCTAATCATGGCAACCTCACTAGGCCTTACTTGTAAATTGTGCATCTTTCTTACAATATCCAATGCTTCCCTGTACAATTTGCTTCTAACATAGCTTCTAATCATAGTACTCCAAGAAACAACATCTCTTTCATCCATATTATCAAATAATAACCTGGCTGTTACCGCACTCCGACACTCGCTATACATTTGGATCAAAGCATTAGTTACAAAAACATCTTCAATCAATCCATTCTTCACTGCAAAACCATGTATTTCTTTGCCCAATTGGGTCATTGAAACAAAACTGCAAGCTTTCAGGATGGCAGGGACCATAAAGTTATCAACTTCATAGTCCGTTCTTCTCAAATAAGCATAGATATCAAGTGCACTGTGGGGTTGGCTGTTTCTAGAATAAGATGTTATAAGGAAATTTAATTGTGCTGAAGGGCTAAACTTGGTGTGGTTGAAGTTGGTTTTAACGATGTGAGCATGGATTTGCCTGGTTTGTTCAAGGGTGGGTTGTTTAGGGAGGACGTGGAATGGGCTTTGCTGTTCGCATTCAAGTGTTCCACTTTTCGGAATTTGGATGAATTTGATTGTGGAAGTCGAAAGGGAAGGAGAAAGTGTAGGTTGCCTTGTTGTAGCTAGTTAGGTCCATGGTGTTAGCGTTTGGTTGCTTCCATTGGAGAGTTTGGAAGTGAATAGCTTAGTTCATCTACAACTAAAGTTTGTTATCTTTACAAAAATCCTTTGTGTTGTATGAAACTTCTTACTTTCAGTTTGTTTACTTCGTCCTAGCCAATCCCTCGTCCACAATGGAACTTTGGGCTTGGTTTTCAACCCATGAGGGGCAAGCCACAACCTACAACGGGCTTCAAGGTCAGAGAGCAGTATTATCCTAGGCCTAGCTCAGTCCATTTCCCAAACTGAAAGGTGGCATTATAAATTTCTCTGCTTCTTTCTCTTCGTTCATCAATGATATAACCCACCATTGCATTACAAAGCCTCGAGACTTCAAGATGAAAACTTCAAGCTTAAGACATGCATCATTTGGTTGTCTGTCAATGGACTAAAATGCTGGAAAAGAAAGCAATGGTTCTCAGTTCTTTTATGACAAGTCTGTGCCAGCACCATGGCTTTGATGGAAAGCTTGTTGTGTTTGGTAAAGTAGTGTGTGGTTTTGAAGATGTTAATACGATGGAAAGTTGTGGTTCAGCTGCTGAAAAGACTAAACAATTGTGACCATTCAGATAAGCTGTCACGTAATTACTATATCACAACACATGTCACCTGAATAGAAACACCAATAATAGTATATTTGATTGATTATTATTTTTTATTAAAGTTGAGGATTTATTTGTATAAAAATAAATACATAATGGTCTTTTTAAATATAATAAAAGAATAATTATTTTTTCCCCATGACATGAAATGGTTCAAGAATTTTTTAATATTTAAGTTTTTTTTTATTTCAATCAGATAAGATATCATGCAAAATTAAGTTAGAAAATTTAAAAATCACAATTCATAATTGCAATTCTCTCTTCAAAATTAGCAAAAACCTTTCAATATTTGTTAAATGGAACTAGTATTTAAAAAATAATATAATAAACAAACAAATAAAACACCCATTAGGGATGTAATTGAAAGTTTTACAACTAAAGGTGGGGAGAAAAAGAAATACGTCTCACAAAAAGTAACAATTCGAAAAACTAAAACCTTAGCTAAAACCCTAAGCTTTCCCATATATAATTTCACCTAAGCCCCCAAAACTCTGCAATCTCGTTTTATCCAGCGTCTCCAAGCCCCAAATCTTGGCCAAAGGTACATCATTTCTCTATTCTACCTTTAGTCTATTTGCTTCATTTTTATGTTTATATTAGCACATATCGAAGGCTTGCAGGTGATTTTGATTGAAAAACCTGTGAGCTCAAAAGCCGTGCAATATCATAACTATCATCCCCTTCAAAAGTTTGGCCTTTTGATGAATACCAATTTTTTCTTCAGGGTTTTAATGGTGGGTGATGACATTTTCTTAATACCCATTTGATAATCTGTAGTTATTGGAATGACCAATGAATTTTCTTATGTTAATCTGTTGTTGGGGATGCAAAAGTATAAGTTTTTGTTTCGTAGTGATGATGAAATATTTGGTCGATTTAAGGTTTCTATGGTGAAAAGTTGTACCTTTCAAAGTTATGGGCTTTTTCAATTCGATGCAAATGTTCTATTTGCCTTTTTTTTTTTTGTTTTAATGTTAGCACATACTTTTGCTATTTTCTTGAAATTTTACTCTAGTTATGTAGGAAGTAGAGAACTGGTAGCTCTAAATAAATGTTTGTTGATTACAGTATAGAATGTGTTTTGCAAGTGAAAAAGGGGATTTTATTGTTGCTGCTAGTTTCTATGTTTGTGTACAATCTTTGAATTTGAACATTGATGAGAACCCTCAAAATTTTTATTTTTGTCCGCAGGTTTTTAACTAAGTTAACAGAATGTCAAACCCCAAAGTTTTCTTTGATATCTTGATTGGAAAAGCCAAATCTGGCCGAATTGTAATGGAGCTATTTGCTGATGTTGTCCCAAAAACTGCTGAAAATTTTCGTGCCCTCTGCACTGGGGAGAAGGGCATTGGGATATCCGGGAAGCCATTGCACTATAAAGGCTCAACATTTCACCGAATCATCCCAAGCTTCATGTGTCAAGGTGGAGATTTCACAAGGGGGAATGGCACTGGTGGAGAATCAATCTATGGCATGAAATTTGCAGATGAGAACTTCAAGCTCAAACATACAGGACCTGGGTGTTTGTCAATGGCAAATGCTGGACCAAACACCAATGGTTCTCAGTTCTTTATATGCACTGAGAAGACTCCATGGCTTGATGGAAAGCATGTTGTCTTTGGCAAAGTAGTGGATGGTTATAGCGTTGTTAAGGAGATGGAAAAAGCTGGTTCAGAGAGTGGGAGGACTTTGCAGCCAGTTGTGATTGAAGACTGTGGTCAATTAAAAGAGAATTGACGGAAAAGCAGTCAAAAATGAAGTTGTGCTTTTCATAAACTACTGTTCTAGAATGATTATGGTTAATGGAAAAACATGATTTGCAATTTTGCACTTATTGTAAAGTTGAAATTTTAGCTGTATTTTTGAAGCTGACATGTTTGTTTGGACTAGGTGGCGGTGAGTTCATAAATGCTTTCATCTGTAAGCCATCCGTTTTAGTGCAGTATTGTAATCATAGAAATCTCAAATCTATGTAGTGGTTTATAGTTTAAATGATATGACTTGGATGATTGATGATTCTATATGATAATCTGGACTCCATCCACTTTGTAAGTCCTGGATAGTGTACGTTTGAGTACAGCTTTTTGAGGCACTCCTGAAGGAAATTTTCATTTCCAGTACATTTGATAACTTTATTATACTTGATCACGTTTGCATTTCCAGTGCATAGGATAACTTTCTTATACTTAATCACAATTGTAAAACAGAACCTAGACATTCTTATTACTGGCTACCTCCCAAATTCAGCGAAGCTCCTTAAATTTTATAAGTAGACAGACTGACAGACAAGGAAATTTGAACAACAGGAAATTACTGAATGGACCATGCATCACTAGCTACGAGCTAGAGCAATGATTGTCATAAGAGCTACTGACCTGCCTCTTTGTACAAAGAGGGGAAATTATTGAATGGACTTTGCATCACTAGCAACTAGCTAAGAGCAGTTATTGTCATCACAACAGCTGAAACTGCTTTCCTCCTTTTACAAGGAGACGAGACAAAAGGAAATTGAAACTTTGGGATATTGTTGGACGGAGCTAGCATTACTTGCTACTAGTTGGAGATTTTAGCTTGGCGACCCCTCTTTTCATCCGACAATTGTTTGGCAAACCTGCGCAATACCAATCAAGAGCAGTATGAGTAAAACCATGATATAGAGACTGTGATTGTACCATGCCAATATAGAGGCAAGATATCATGCAATCTTAGTCTTACCAAATGAGTCGTTCTTCATTTGTTGCAGCCTCTGGAATTGGTTCAATTATTCCAGTTTCGAAGTTCAGTTTGGAAGCGGTCTTTTTCAGAAGCTCATTTCCAATCTTCTCAAGATTTTCAAGGTTTTCTTTGGTTGAGTTGTCCAAGCTGGCTTCAGTTTGTTTCAAGCTATCGGTCTGGTTTGATGTCAACCAGCAGTAAGCGTTTGGTTAGATAAGTATGTTTGGTTAGCATTGAAAATTCAATTAGATAAGTAAGCGTTTGATTGTGAGAAATAATCATCATAGAATGTTTGGCTAGCGTTGAAAATTCAATTATTCTATTAGCAAACAGTCCCAGATAGATCGACACACTTACGGTTAGATAAGTATGATAAAAGGGAAGGAAAGTATCCTAAAATAAAAGTTTTGCCCAGAACTGGAGATGGAAGATTATAAAAGGGACTGATCAAATGGAGTCGGATGTTTCTCACCATTCAAACAAGTTTCTGGCATAAATATTCTACAAATTGAAAGCATAGTTATCTTCGGATGCAAGGCTGCATGCATAGTGAAAGAAAATCAATGTCGAGAAGGCAATACCTGAATTCGTAGATAATTGGTCTTGAAATTACTAGAGCCTTGGAAGAAAGAAGATAAATATATGTCAACCATATCATCTGTTGCAGTCAGAAGAACATCAGAGAAGGGAACGGTATCATCAGGCCCCTGAAACCATTTGAAGAGTCCCCACAATTTGGGATCGTCAACCTCAAGCTTGTTATTCCTTTTCGACGATCCAGTTCCAAGGGAGAGAACAAGAAGTTTGCTGCAATCCATTTTTTTCAAGCGCTGATCTTTTTCATTTAAAGACATCTCCTTGCTCGCCTCTACCATTGCTAGCAAAGTCTGATAAATTTGTCAAAGGCTAAGTTCAGTAAGATTCACGGTGTAGTATATATATATGTTTGATGGGAAAATGTAATTAATTAAACATTGTAACTGGAAATAAACAAAATTAGTATACAGGATTGTTGGCTGCAACTCCACCATCGACCATGTTGAATCTCCTGGTGTAGCTGAATGAGTTGATCTCAAATTTATGAGGCGGGAGGTAATATGGTGCTGCGGAAGTGCTGAGACAAACATCTGCTAGTCGAGCATCCTCTAGATTGTCACGTCTCGCCTGCAATAACTCATTAGAAGAGAGGATTGATTTATAGTTTTCCTAGCAAGTAGGGTTAGCAAAAGCGGAAGAAAACCTTCAAGGTGGAGAAAACTGTTGGCTGCAGAAGTCTGATATCGAAAGACGGGATGATGACATTGGTCAGAGTCTGACAAAGCTTTCTATCCCCAAGCATATCTTCGATGGTTTCCTTCAAATGGACGCCATCATATTTTGGCCTAAATATTGCTTGTTCGGCCCAATGGATAAAGGACTCTGCGTCATGGTACGCTGGCACTGCTACCTTCTCCCACACTGACTGAATCCATTCTTTTACAGCGGTAATCCATGAAGAAGGAAATGATACTGATCTATTCCATGCACAGAACAAAGTAAAGATATACATCAATACAAATGGTTTCTCCAAGATTCTATACTATATATAAAATATTAAAGAATCAGCTACCTAAGCCTTCCAGGCTGTGCTGAATCTGATGTTTGAGGAAAGATTTTCGGGCAGTGTTCAAGGTAAAATTCGGTGATCTCTTTTGCAGCAAACAAAGGTCGATTCTCATCATTTGGTGAGGCGAGCATGGCTGTGACAAGGCCTCCAGTGCTAGTTCCAGCAATGAAATCAAAGTAATCTGCAATCCTTGCCTCCTTACCATCCAGCTTCTGTTTCAAGAACAAAAAAAATTGTATAAAAAATTTTGACTCAGTAAGTATTTTTGTGCATTATGTAGAGTGAAGCAGCTCCAACCTGGAGTTCGGATTCAAGGAAGGCGAGGATTGTGGCTGGGATAATGCCTCTCACTCCTCCACCATCAATGCTGAGAATTGTAGTAAGCTTCTTTCCCTCTAAATCAATCCATAACAAGCAGGGATCCATCCAATATGATGTTATTATTATAGAATTTATAACTTGTTTGTGTAATTGAAAATAAACAAGGGAATGCATGTAATATAGAATGCACGTTAAGTAACCAAATTGGTAAATGAGAGTACAGCAACATACCAGTTGCCATTGATGAAAAGAAAAACTGAACTTCTTATTTTGAAGGAAAGAACACTCAACTCTAAGCTAAACTGCTTCCACTTGAAACTTGTAAAGCCCTGGCCGCTCTCACCCTCATTTATAGTCGCACAGCACGTACATTTGCATGTGTAATTTTGTATATTTTATAATTATTTTCACCTTTTTTAATTTCCGCCACATTTTTGTTAGATTCCTTTTTCATTTGTCTAGTTACATAAATGTCTCATAATATATATTTAAATTAAATAAAATATTTTATTTCGTTTTTTTTACTATCTCTTGTGAGATCTAATTTTAGAAGATCAACGTTAGTTGTATCTCATATCAAATTATTTGTTTGGAGAATGAAAGAATTTAAATTTAAATTTTTCACAGGAGATACATGAATTACCATTGAATGAAATGAATAAAACAATGAATGATCTTTCTCAATAATTTGGGATAAACCAAGCTCTTGAATTTTTTTTTATTTACCATCATTTATTATTTTTATCATAATCTTTAAAATATTTGTTAATTTGTTGACCGTCAATCACGGCAATTTAAGAGTGGATGGTCCATGCATATTTGTTAAAAATAAAAGAGTGATTTAGGAACCTTATAAATTGTTTCCATATACAGGTGACATCTTCTAGAATGTTTTTTTGGTCCATAGATGTATGCCATATTAGAATGAAGATAAAAAAAAATCCAACATTTGTTAAGTTGGGGTATCTTGAAAATATAGATATAATAAAACAATTCTATATAATCAATTGGTTTTGGGTTAGATGTCTTTTTTAAAATTTTCACGTAATATCAAAGCAAGTGCTGCCCTTCGTATACATAATATAAAAACGTGACTTTTAGATTATTTTACAAACTCATTAATTCATTAGATTTCTATTTAATGATAAATTTGGAATACTTATTATATATATATATATATATTAATTTTTGAATTTTAAATTTATTTTCTTCTCATATACATAAGCATATTAAACCGTATTTCATTTTTATATATAATGCATTTTTTATTCTCTCAATTCATATAAGAAATCAAATTTAAATTCTTTCTTCCAAATTCATGTTTCTAAGCATAGTATTAACCTAATTATCATTCATACATAAGATAAGACAATGACCGCGTTCACATCCTCCTTCAAAATAGAAAAGAATATAGAGGTCAAGTCGACGTGAATTTCGTGTTCATCCTATATGGACAATCAACAAGTTTTTCTTATTCAATTATAGATGACAGGGGCGGAGCGTCCCTTTATCCCTCTAAAATTTTTGAAATCATTAAAAAATATACATTATATATTTTTTAATGATTTTTTAAAATAATTTTTTATTAAATAATTAATATAATTAAAAATAATAATAAAATGACTTACAAACCCCATTCTATTTTACTTAAATTTTTTAAATTTCTTCATCCATATTTCTCCCTTTTCTTTTCTATCCTTGTATTGTAAAATTATAAAGAGGTAAAGTTTTTATTTAATTTATTTATTTATATTATTACTATTATTATTATTTATTTTTTTCAATTCTATTCTATTTGCTCATATATTTTAAGTTTCTATAGATTTTCTTTTTTAAATTTCTATAAATCATCAACCACATTCTTTTTTTTTTTGTATATAGGTTATATCTCCTATTTGTTATGGTTTTTTATTTTCTATTATGTGGATTTTATTTTTAATGATTTTAATTTTTAAAAATTAAAAAATTATTTTATATGTAATTTTCAAATATAAGTTCTAGTGTTGCATTATTGGTTATTGTTTAAAATTTTACTAATATATTATTTTTATTAATCTTAATTATATAAGAAAAAATTATTTTGAGTATACGTTTTTAATGTGTTTTACGTTTTATATTTAGTTGAAAGGAAATTATCTTGAGTATAAGAAGAAATTATTAATTATTTATATTTTATTTATTATAGTTTAATATTTAGTATTACAAACTTAAATATAATAAAATAAGAATATTAGATGTTGATTACATTAATTTTTTAGTCATTTATATTGAGAAAGGTAAAATTTCAAAATAAAATGTATGATAAGTTTCTTACAAATAATTTAGTTGTTTATATTAAAAAAGATATTACCATTTTCGAACAAAATTTTCCTATAGCACTATTATAATTTTTTTTATTTTTTATTTTTTATTTACATGTTATATAAAATTATTATCTATTATAAATATTTTGATTATTAATAGTTAAGTTCAATATACTAGTTTTAAAATTTTTTCATTTTTATTTTTCTTAATTTTTGACCTCTCTAATAAAAATTGACTAACTCTGCCCTTATAGATGAGTCCATGCTCTTTAGAAAAGAAGATAATTAAATTGTATAAAATGGAAAGTCACCACTAACTCATACAATTTTTTTATTTATTTATTGTCGATGAATGTGATATTGGACTATGAGACTTCTCTTGTGTCATTAATTATATCATTTTTGTCATCCTCTGCACCCAAGATTGTTAGGTTGAATTCTTTAAGCTATTTTCAACGTCTCCAATCAATTGGTTTGTCTTCTTCTTTATTAATTCTACTATTTATAGCACGCGTTTATAGTTACACCTACTCTCTCTCTCTCATGTGTACAAATGTTTAGTGTGAAAACATTTTTTTGCCGGTAGGGGAACCCAATTATTAAAGAAGCATGACTTTTTTAAAGTTATGTATCACATGTTTCTCTTATCTTTCTTAAGCTGATGTCCCAGCTTAAAATTGAGCTGTTTTCCTCTCATCGTTCAAAGATCGAATGTACAAGGAGAACTGTAAAAAGAAGAAAAGGGAAAGTCAAATAAAAACAAGATTAAAAAGATGAAAAGAAGAAAAAAACACAAACCCTAATCGACGTTCATATTCATATTAACTCTTTTTTTTCTCTCAATCAAGATAGATTTCATTAGGTATCAAAAGAGCTGATGCAAACCCACGCCTATATACGAACAGGTTTGGTAAACATTTATACTATCATTTTTAAATCATTAAACAAGTGTAGAGGGGTTAGTCATGCAAATCCTTTATCATTCTATTATTTGAGGGTCAGAATTTTAAAGATCCTGCACATTTGAAAGCTGTTTTTTATGAGTACTCGGTGGGGAAGCATTTTGCATTCTTTTACAAGAACAGTGACAAGATCAGAATGAGTGCAAAAAGTGTTGTCATTGGGTGTGAATAATATATCCTTTCTTGGGAGGGTACTGGATGCTCTGTTTTTTTTTTATCACTTTCATCCAGGGAGGGTTCTCTGAGTTTCCGATGAGCTTGTGACTGATTTCCATGAAGGGCTGCCGGTCTTTTTCCTTTTTCTGAAGGGCTTTGGTCTCCCACGGTGAGGCCTCTTCGTCGTTGACCGTCCCGGTCCGGGGGCTTTTTCCTTGCTGGCCACTTGTGCTTCTTCCGATGGAGGAATGTTTCGTTAGGCTTCGGTCAGCAATAGAGCTGCTTTGCAGGTTCTGAAGCATGTGGTCTTTTCCAGTGGATTTTCGTAGGTTCGGGAAGGGCTGTGATGTTGCACTCGTCACCCCTTGCTTGCGAACGAGGTTTAAGGCTTCCTGTTTCATGCTGAGCTTTTTGGGCGGGTCATCTTCTTGTTTACCTTATGGTTTCTGTCGTTATGATTTAGGCTCTTTGCTTTTTTAGGCTCCTCTGTAAACAGATAGGTTTCTATTTTTCTTTCTGCTGCTAGGCTTTGTATGGAGTGTCCCTTAACTTTGTACTGATGCATTCCGGATCCAATGCTAGTTGCTTTGCTAGCATTTGGTTTAATAAACTCCAATTTTCCCCAAAAAAAAATTGACAACTATTATGAAGTAAAAAGGTATAGAATGTCTTTTGGACATTGGGTGTGAATTGGAAGTGGCCTTGTTGGACATGGCTAAAGAGGTATTTTAAAATCAAAATTTTCACTACAACAAATTTGACTTTAACATAGTATATTTTTAAAATATGTTGTTAAAAATATTTTTAATAATATTTTTTATATATGTTTTTTAATACATTTTTGTACATAAAATTTTAAATGTATATGAATAAAATGTAATCATAGAAATTGCATACATTAATAAAAACTGCATATTTTTATATTGATGCTAAATGTGAAAAAAGTGAAGTTAAAAGTTTCAATAATTATACTTTTTAAGATTTTATTATAAAAAAAAATTACCTAAAGAAATGTGATTAGAACTCAATTTTATCACATTGTTTATAAGTACGAAAAGCCTCATAGGATATAGAAGGTAAGTACTTACTAATTATGAAGTAAAATTTAATTTGAGTTAAATATAAAATTTTATTCAATTTAACCTTTACATTTTATAATTTGGTCCATATGATATGGCAACTTCTTTGGTCATACATTTCAACACCATGTCAATATTGTCTGACATGTCAACACCACATCAGCACCATTGATGGCCCATTTGAACGAAGTTAGGTAAAATGAATCAATGGCACAAATGTCAAAATATAAAAACTAAATTGATTAAAACACTATAAATATAGGGACCTATGGAGTTCTTTGATCATATATATATATATATATATATATATATAAATGGCCTTTGGATAATCTCACGATTTTAGATATGGTGCAAGATCCCATTTGTATTAAAGCTATTGATGCTGGAAAAAAGATTAAGCCTGCTATTGTTTGGACTCTTCCTCCGTGTGGCAGTTGAAATTTAATGTGGACCGAGCTGCTAACTGCTGCCAAGGGGATTCTAGTTTGGGAGGAGCTCCAATGGATCAAAAAGATCATGCTAAAATCTTATTTTCCAAATCTCTGGGGCTTGGTGATTCAAACTTTCCGAAAATTATGACCATTAAGGAAGCCTTCTCTCACAGTTCGCAGCTTCTTCGTGAGCTTCCTCTCATATTTTAATTGTGGAATTTGACTCCACCAATGCTGTCATGCGGCGCAACCAGCCTTCTTCCACTCCTTGGAGGTTTAAACAAATTCTGATTCAGATCAAATTTTTATGAAAAAAATTTCAAATTGGTCGATCGTTCATTGACTGCGATCCTCAAATCAATTAGCTGATCACGTTACCAAGGCTGGTGTGGGAAGAGCTTCTGATTTTCTGCAGGTTTTTTGGATAACTGCTCTCGGTTTCTTTTCTCCTATCGGGTGGTGTTTCCAGCTTTTTCCGATTTATTCTGTTTTTCCTGGTGATTCTGCTTGTGTTGGGTCTCTTTTGGAGCTTGGTTTTGCCTTTTTCTTTGTGTGAGTTTGAAGCTCTCTTGTGATGCCTGGCTCTGTTCCTGCTGGATTTATTTTATAATAATATGATGCCATTTAAGATATTCTTTTAATTGTGAGAAAATAAAAAAATTTTGTTTGATTGAGATATTCTTTTCCCAAAGAAATTCTACTTTTTCTACTTATTGTGAGAAACTGACAATGATTTTGTTGTTAAACGTCAACTCTGTAAACTAATTCCTAAAGAGTGAGGTAAAAAAAAAAAAAATTTACATCCATGTGAAAAACATATGTGACGGGAGTAATTAACAAGTGGAACAGAATAAATGTAGAATAGAATCTCACGTCGAGACGAAAAAAGAAAAAAATGTTTATTAAATAAAGAGTAGTCCAAATCCTTATAGTAACTGTATGAAAGTAGGTTAAAATGCATATTGGTGTACTAAAGTAGGTTTTATATGTTATTATTTAATAATGAGACTTGGCACCTAATACGTGACACGTATAGTTCATTAAATAATAAATTATATTCTTTAAGTTTTATTTTTTAACTGTGAACATATTTTTCTATACAGATAAACAATTTTGTTTGAACAATTATACTTGTATTAATATGCATGAAACTTTTTTTATATAAGAACTCTTCTGATTCAGAAAAATGATAAAAAAACAAAGAAGTAAGGAACAAAGAGATTTTGTATTTTCGCGAACCAGCTCTCTAAAATGTTTATACAGTTAATGGCATTACATAATAGTGGCAAATATATATGACTTTGATGATTGATAACTGATAATTCTATATGGCAATTTGGATTCTATCACTTTGTTAGAAGCAATTGATATAGTGCCTGTTCCGGTCGAAATTTGAGTCATTTCGGAAGGAATATTAGCTTCAGCTCTTCATGTTTTATCGGATTAAACATTTTTGGTTGGGAGAGGGACTATTCAATTTCATTTCCGATGCATTTGATAACAGCTTTATTTTAATGCACTTGATAACTTACAAGCAGGTGTGGGCTATAGATCCTTAACTATCTCCCAAATTCAGACCTTACAAGCTGACAAACAACAGGGAATTTGAACAATGATGAAATTAAAGACTGGACCTTGCATCACTAGCTACCAGCAAGGGAAATTATTGTCATAAGAACTACGGAAACAGCATGCCTCCTTGTATTACAAGGACGCTAAATTATTGAACGGAGCTTGCATCTCTAGCTAATAAGCTAGCTAGAGAATTTATTTTCATTAGAAATACTGAAACTGCTTGCCTCCATTTTACAAGGAGACGACCAAAGGGAAATTTCGACAGTGGGAGATTATTTAGATGGATCTTGCCACAATGCTACTAGGTAGAGCTTTGAGCTAGGCGACGCTTCCTTTCTTCTGACAATCGTTTGGCCAACCTGTTCAGTGATAATCAAGAGCATTTTGATTAAAATCAGAACAGATTGTGATCGTACCATACTAATGAAGAGGCAAGAATTCGTATAAACTTAGTCTTACTTGATGATTGCTGCCCTATTTGTGCCTGCCCCTCTAATTGGTTTAAGTAAGCCAGTTTCCAGGTTCGTGGCAGAAACAGGCTTGTCCAGAAGCCCATTCCCAATATTCTCAAGATTTTGAAGGTTTTCTTGGTTTGAGTTGTCCATGCCAATTTCGGAATCATTCAAGGAATCAGTCTGGTTCAATGTAGACCAGCAGTAAGCGACTTTGGATGCAGGACTTAAGCATGAAAAAAAAAGAAAAAGTAGCCAATATTTAGAAGGGTATACCTGAATTCGTAGATAATTGTCCTTAAACCTAGTGTCTTGAAAGAAAGCAGACAAATATATGTCAACCATAGCATCTATTGCATTCATTAGAACATCAAGGAAGGGGATGCCATTATCCCCCAACAACCACAGCAAGGGTCCCCAGTTTTCATTTATGATCTCAAGCTTGTTATTCCTTTTTGATGATCCAGTTCCAAGGGAGAGAACAAGAAGTTTACTGCAATCCATGTTGTCCAAGCATTGAGCTTTTCCATCTAATGACTTCTCCTTGGCCACCTCCGATATTGCTAGCAAAGTCTAATAAATGTGTCCAAATCCAGGCAGTAAAGTGAGAATCAAGGTGCATCAAATCGTAAATGTTTTATTGGAAAATGTAATTAAACCATTATTGTTTCCGAAAATAAGATGCCATACAGGATTGTTGGCTGCGATTCCACCATCGACCATGTTGAACTTTCTGCTGCCGTTGACTGAGTTGATTTCAAATTTATGAAGAGGGAGGTAATACGGTGCTGCAGAAGTGCTCAAACAAACATTTAGTAGTGGAACATCTTCTAAATCATCACGTGCCGCCTGAAATCATTCATTAAATAGAATAAAAAATTATACGAAGACAACTGAAAATGACCAGTTTTAGTATAAAGGAAGCAAAATGCATGGAAGAACCTTTAAGGTGGAGAAAACAATAGGTTGGAGAAGCTTGATATCGAAGGAGGTGATTATCACGTTAGTTAGAGTGTCACTAAGCCTTCTATCTCCAACCTTTACTTTGATCACTTCCTTCAATTTTTGGCCATCGTATTTGGGATCAGCTAAGAAATGCAGGAGACGTCCGAGAAAGTCTCTCAGTGAACCTAAATCCGGATTTGAGCCCATTGACCGAGCCGCTTCCTCTACAGCGGGTTCCAACGTAGACCTGATCAAGAAATTTGAGATATATGGATCAAATTATTATAAAAACCACTACCTTCCAAGTTTTAACTATGTTTAAAATTGTCTTTAGCAACCTACGTTTCATCTGTTCGTCCACGACGGTTTGGCTTCTGGGGAAAGATATTTGGACTCTCATCTTATAAAATTGAAGGATCTTTTCTGCAGAAAAAGGACGTTTAGATTGATCATCTGGATCTGGGGAGCTGAGCATGGATGTAACAAGGCCTCCAGTGCTAGTCCCAGCAATGAAATCAAAGTAATCGGCAATCCTTGCACTGTCACCATCCAGTCTCTGTTCATGACCACAAACACAAAAGCAAACAAAAATTTTATGAAAGTTCTTAACTCAATCACACTGCAATACACAACAATCACATTGCTGTGCTGAAAATAGAGGGAATAACCGACCCGGAGTTCGGATTCAAGGAAGGCCAGAACTTTGGACGGGATAATGCCTCTCACTCCCCCACCATCAATGCTGAGAACTGTTATAAGCTTTCCCTCTAATCAAATCCATAAGCAGATTTTGTCAAATACCAATCATGCGATAAATTTGTAAGAGTGTTTTACATGTAACTGAAATAATACAGGGAATGAATTCACGTAATGCAACATTAACTAAGAAACCAAATTGGTAAATCAAGATACTGGGATATTTTGACCAAAAAAGCTGTAAAAATCCCAGCAACTCACCAGTTGCCATTGATGAAAGAAAATATGAACTTCAACACAATCTGTAGGTTAAAGCTGCTTGATCAGCACTTGAAACTTGGAAAGCCCGGGGTGCTCTCACTCTCATTTATAGCCACACAACACGTGCATTGCACGTGTAAATTTGTATGTTTGATGATTATATATATTTTATATAATTATTTTTAATACACTTATAGCATGATTGGTTCACCGGAAGGAATAAAATAGAAATAAAATAGTCATTCCAAAAGAATGAATTAGGAGAAAAATAACTATTATGTAAATTAGTTCATGAAAATGGAATAGAATAGAAATTACTATTATTACTTATTTTATTGTTTGATTGGAAGGAATAATTTTAAAAATAGTTAAAGAATAATAATGGGTAAATGATAAAAATACTCTTTATTAAAATTTTAAATTAAAAAACAAAAATACTATAATGAGAAAAACATACTCTTTATTAAAATTAAATAATTTATTTTGTTAAAAAATAAAAATATTCTAAGTAATAAAATCAAAGTACCTTTTACTATACTTAAATAATATTTTCACCAAAATACAAATATATTTTTATTATGATTTAATAATATTTAATGCTAAAAGATAAAATATATTCTTCATTAAATTTAAATAATACAAAATAATTTTCTTTATTACATTTATTATATTGAAATAATAATATTAAATAATATTCTTTATAATATTGATTATAGTTAAATAATATTAATATATTAAATAATATTTAAATATTTTCATTTCCTTTTTTTTGAAAATGAAGTAAAAAATTTTGTACCTTATGTGCTTTAGAGAGAGAAGGAGTGAGGAAGAGAGAGAAAAAAATTGGCTTAGTATTATTTTATAAGATAATTTTTTAAATTATAAAAAAATATATTTATCTAATCAATTATTTTTTTTATCCTCAACAATTCGAAATAGCCATTACCAAGGGGCCTCAGTAATGATTATTTAAGCCTCTCTTAAAATGACTATTTTGAAATATAACTATTCCATTGAACCAAATGTAGCTTTATCTCAAGAATGAGAATAAGAGAGAAAAGGCTATTCCGTTCCTCCAACCAAACACGCCCTTAGGTTAATTCATCACCATGTTTAGTTTGAACTCCCGCCCTTAAGTTAATTCATCACCATGTCTAGTATGAACTCCCCATTTTCATCTATATATTTCCATTTGAACATTCCTTTTCAGATTGCAATTTTAACTATGATTGGACTTTGGTATTCTTACATATGGAAAAATTTCCTTTCTATGACAGATTCAAAGTGTCGACAAATTGAGTGATGGTTAAGGCTGAGACAAAGACAAAGTATAGACTTTGTTCTAGGCTTGAAAAAGCCAAAAATAATATTGTTGTGCAACACCCATGTTTTTGTCATTTGTGTGAAAAAAGTTTCATGACAAAAAAGATAAAGTTTGGAGTACCACAGGGCTGGGATGGTGGCTCTATTGCCACATACTTTTGCATCATACAAAAAGAGAGAAGATGACAATTTTTTTAAAAATTTTTTTATGTGATATTCAAGAAAAGTTAGAATACATACTTGTTTTTGGCTAGAATTCAAGGCCTTGAATTGCTTTTTAATAAATTATAGATATAAATTCATAGTATTAAATTAAACATACACAAGCTTAACTAATTCAAAAATAATTTATTAACTATATGAATCGATTATATACTTATTCCAAAATAGTTTCAAGATATAAATATAATTCAAGTTAATTAGATAATAGACATGAATACAACTTAAAAACATGATTAATTTATTTCACCTTAAATAATTAATTGTGAAAATTCCAGACTAATCCTTGCATTTATATTTATTTTATTTAGTTTTTAACTCGGTGATTAAGCTAATATCATCCTTTTCTTAATTTTTTCTTGATTTTCATTTTTGGACCCAAGAGGAAGATCACGAGTACCCTATGTTCTTTTTTTTTTTTGAAAGGTAGTGAATTTGTATTAATGATGATGGACACAAAAGGGAGCACTAAGGTTGGCTTGAATGGCCTTTCCCTGTGCTTCCCAAAACCTGCGGGAGAACAAAATGGGATTCTGCGGTAAAAGATGTGCAGATTTGTCATCCACTCTTTCCCACTATACACCCCATGGTATATCAAACTTTACATCCCAATGCTATACCAAACTAGCTTTCCTCTGGTGCTTGCCTCTCACATACATTACCAATAATCCACATCAGATCACCTTGTCTGCGTATGCCCGTTTTAGCCAAGCTATCAACAATTTCATTTGCAGACTGAAGAATCTTTGTAATGCTCCACATAGAAAGTTTAGCTTTTAGTCCTTCAATCTTCATGATGGTCCTCCTAAGCTTTCATCAAGTGTTCATGAGATGAACGTTGGAGGAATTACTTTCAAAGACTATCCCACTGGAGTTAGCCCATTTAGAAGCTGCCAACACTTGAAATCAAGCAGGATAAGTTGAAATCAAGGAAAGAACAAGATTTTTTAAATTTTTATTTATATGATCTGATTTGGGAGGATAACAACTTAAGAACAAGACACAAAAGAAATACAGCTGTAATGGACACGTACATGTAGGACATACCAGACATGGTTGTTGGAAATTATTATGTGAACTGTTTTAATGTTGTTCTACCAAATATTCATCAATCACAAAGAAAATGACAACCCTGAATAATGAAGTTCCATCAACAATTTTGGACATCAGCTATTATCATGTGAATTGTTGTAATTAATGGTGTTTACATGAAAAACCATCTAGATAGAGATCAATGATTTTCCTTGTAGGGTTTCTGATCTCAAATTCTTTGAGTCAATTTTGATATGACCTTCTTTTGTTGGATATTTTTCATAATAATAAATGTGAGATATAATTTTATATTAAAAATAAAAAACAGAAAAATTTATTTAAATAAAAAGGAAAATAAATTCATAATAATTAGACTAAAGTGGGCTTATCTGCAAATAGATCATGGCTAGGTTTTCTAAAGTCTTTGCTTGGTTTTGAAATTAATTAAGTCAATAATATATAATTAATATATTATACAGGCAGTTGGATTTGGACATGTGCCAATAAATTATATTTATTTTAATTGCTAACATAAGGGGATATGTGGAATGTACAGATGCGGGTAATTAAACAATAAATTATATTTATTTTAATTTGTTTTTTAACTGTCAACATAAATATCTTTTGGAAAATCTAAAAATTATTTTGTTGGAAATAAACAGTTGTAATTTTTGAGAACAATTATTTATGTCTATAAATAGACTCTTGGCTTTAAAGGATATACAAAAATAACAAACAACAATCTCTCACTTCTTAATATTTTTTAGATTTCTTTTATATCATTTTACTACAAAAAAATCTTATAAAAGTTTGATAGTTTTATCATGCATCTTCAGTAAATTGATTTTTGTCAATGTAATACGCAGTTAATCATTAATCTTCATTATATCTTCAAGACTTATCACTTACAATCTTTTTGTACACTATTAGTGGTGGTGAATAAAACTTTAAAAACTATAACATTTATCATTTCATTATTTTTCAGTTCTGTATTCCAACGTCAAGTCCTTGTATCAGCTCCAAATTAAAGGATGATCCACTGTACTTCTGGATTTGAATTTGAGAATAATAAATATTTCTTTGGAAATATAATAGCATCTATTTTCTTTGTAAGTTCTCATTAGAAAAGATTTATAAAAATTTAAATTTTAATTAGATTCAATTTTTTCTTATTATTTTTTAATTCACACATCATCATCAATTTTTATATACATAATAGATCCTATTGATGCCGATAAATTACACGTTTGAATGCGAGGATTGGAAATAAAAATAATAGTTTACCATTATTTCCGATTTATAATTGGTTTGGTGCGATTAATTAATTCAAACCCATGTTCCATATGTTATTTCTTTTCCCATGTAGGTACACCTTTCTCAATGCCTTTAAGCTTAGGTCCCAGCTTGAAATTAAGCTGCTTTCATTGTCATTGAGAGGAAAAGTGTAAAAAGAAGAAAAGAGGAAGTCAATCGAAAAGAAAAACAACATTAAATTTATGAAAAAAATGCAGGTTTATATCTAATTAATTGAATTGGCCGAACAAGGGTGCACAAAGTGTGCTGAGTTTGGCACCTACCAAGTAGGTGTAGCTAATTCATTTCATTTGTGCTATATTTTATAACTTTATTTATAGTTTATACATGACTAAAACTGGAAGAACAGAGCCTAGTTAACTCCTCTCATTAATCTCGGGCTACCTGCAAAATTCAGCTATAGCTTTCTTGACTTTCGACCTTTGACCTTTGTGACACTTGAACTGCTCAAGAAGTTGCTTGCCTCCTTTCCTTAGAAGCAGTTGCACAATGGGAAAGGTTGACTGGACCTTGATTAGCTAGCTACTAGCTAGAGCAATTAGCTTGGCGACGCCTCCTTTCATCTGTCAATCCTTTGGCAAACCTGCTCAACACCGAGTTGAGAGCATTTTCATTAAAATGGGGACAGATTGTGACGGTACAAAGCCATTGCACAGATGCAATATCTCATAAAATGTTAGTCTGACCTGATGAGTGCGTCTTCATATGTGCCTGCTTCTTCAATTGGTTCGTATAAACCAGTTTCCAAGTTCACAGCAGCAACGGGCTTTTTCAGAAGTTCATTTGCAATCTTCTCAAGATTTTGAAGGTTTTCTTGGCTTGAGTTGTCAGCGGCTGCTTGAGTATATTTCAAGCTATCAATCTGGTTCAATGTCAACAGGTAGTAGTAAACATTTTGATTGTTAGAGAATTTCATCATAGAATGTTAACTAATCAGTTACCACAGCATTACCAGAAAGATTGTCACTCTCATAGTTAGATAAGATGAAAAAAGGGAAGGAAAGAGCCTTAAAATTAAACTTCCTTTCCTGAGTGTATTATACTCAGTTTCTGTAGTTTTTGCAAAGAAATCAATGTTCAGAATGGAATATACCTGAATTCGTAGATAATTGTCCTTGAAACTAGAGCCTTGAAAGAAAA